GATGGCTTCCATCACAGAGCCTCTCCATATTTTGTTAAGGAAGAACCTAAGTTGGGAGTGGAACAGAAACAGTGAACAAGCTTTTGAAAGCGTAAAAACTATATTGTGCAATACACCTTTATTAGCTCACTTTGACCCATCAAGGAAAATCATGGTTCACTGTGACGCCAGTCCATATGGCGTAGGAGCCGTTTTGAGTCAACAAGTATGATGGAAGTGAAAAACCTGTCAGTTTTGCTTCAAGAACATTAAATATGGCAGAGCAAAATTATGCACAAATTGAAAAGGAAGGGTTAGCATTAGTTTTTGCTGTAAAAAAATTTCATCAGTTCTTATTTGGACAAAAATTTACATTGTATACAGATCATAAGCCCCTATTAGGACTATTTTCAGAAAGCAAAGAACTTCCTACAAGAGCTGCTGCTAGAGTGTTAGGCCGGGCTTTGCTATTGTCAGCTTATGATTACCAATTACTATATTGTCCTGGCGAAAAGAACGCAATTGCAGATGGTCTAAGCCGTTTACCTTTAGATGTATCAAAGGAAAAGTCAAGGTTAAAAACCATAGAGGTGGCTATGTTAGAACTATTAAAAACCCCAATTACAGAAAAACAGTAAAGAGGAGCTACCCAAAACGATCCAAGATTAGGAGTGGTACTGAATAGAGTGTTAGAGGGAGGGTTGACGATGGAACCGAGTAAGGTGGAGATGAAACCATTTGCATTAAGGTTTTCTGAGTTATCAACAGAAGGAGGTTGTTTACTGTGGGGAAGAAGAGTGATAGTGCCAAGTGTCTTAAGAGAAACGGTACTTGAGGAATTACATGAGGTGCATCCCGGAATAAGTAGAATGAAGGCTTTAGCAAGAAGTTATGTTTGGTGGCCTGGCATTGACACAGAAATAGAGGATAAAGTAAAGAACTGTGAGACATGTCAACGAAGTCAGAAGAATCCATTAACCTGGTGTCATCCTTGGGAATATCCAAGTAGACCATGGGAGCGACTACATATCAATCATGCAGGCCCAATGAATGGGAAAATATATTTGGTAGTAGTTGACAGTTTTTCAAAATGGATTGAGGTGGAAGTAGTGCGCAGTACTGAAGCCAAAGCAACAATAAAGGTACTCAAAAAATTATTTTCTACCCATGGTATACCGCGAGTGATCGTTAGTGACAATGGATTTGGATTTTCGAGTGAAGAATATAAAGAGTTTTTATTTTCAAATAGAATTAAACCAGTGTATTTTGCACCGTATCATCCTGCTTCAAATGGTCAAACAGAAGGAATGGTTCAAACATTTAAGAATTCAATTAAAAACTTTCAAGGAAATGATATCGACACACAGTTGTGCCGATTTCTTTTTAAATATCGTGTTACACCTCATTCTACAACTGGAGTTTCTCCAGCTGAACTTTTATTGGGTAGAAGATTATGAAATCCGTTGTCGATGCTACATCCTGAAGTTAGCTCTCGAATCAATGAAAAGAAGCTGTCAGACAGTTCAGTGGATAAAGTTCGTTTTTTTCAACCAGAAGACACGGTTTACGTCAAAAATTATAGTAGAGGTGAAAAGTGGATTGCAGCTATAATTATATCAGCAGTTGGGAATGCTAGTTACAAAGTGTTAATGTTAGATGGTCGTATCCAGATGAGACATGTGGACCAAATTGTAAATCGTTATGTGGGAAAGGTTAACTCTACTAAAACACCAGAAAGCATAAATACTCCAATGCTGATCAATGCTGATAAACTAAATGAAGTGATTGAAACTCCATGTTCAAGCGAAATCTTGAGTGAAAATCGTGATGAGATTAGCATGGATGTTGAGCCCAAGATCTGTGTGAACAGCCTGGTGCTTTTTTTGAACGAACCTCTTCAATTAACCGAAGATCAGGTCGAGTACGTTGTAAACCATCTTATTTAGAGCAGTACGAATGATTTATGGGTGGAGAATATATATATATATATATATATATATATATATATATATATATATACATATATATATATATATATACATATATATATATATATATATATATATATATATATATATATATATATATATATATATATATATATATATATATATATATTCTCCACCCATAAATCATTATATATATATATATATATATATATATATATATATATATATATATATATATATATATATATATATATGTATATATATATATATATATATATATATATATATATATATATATATATATATATATTGTATTGAAAGTTTAAATAACATGTTCTTTTAAGAAATGATAACCCAATAAAATGATGAGACGTAGTTAGCATTTTTATGTTCATTTATACTATTTTTATTATCTAACAAATTAAATAATAAAAGAATGGTAAGAATATCATAGGAGGTGGAGGGTGATACATTAGAATAAGAAAATTAATGGAGTAATCAAGTTCTTTCAATTTTTTGAAATAGTTTAAACGAACTTTAATAAGAAAATTTGTCTCCTTGATAGATTTCTACTTGCTGTCTTTTGCATTTTTATCAATTAATAGCCTGCTAACATTAGGATATTGTATTTGCATCCTTATTCTTTTTTTATTTTGAATAAAGACTATGATTTGAATCAATTTTCAACAATTTTTAACTGATAAAACATTGCTCAAGGTTATACTTTTATGAGTAAAAGTGTTGCCCCATCAAAAACCAAAAGGCAAGTCACTGGAATGCATAAAATGAAAATCAGCAATCGTCAAATTAGCAGATGCTTGAATATTTGTCTGAATTCAGCCTTTACAGCGATAATTAACACTATATTATATAACTGTTACTTATTATCTAAATTAGCAATCATTAAATTATTATAGTTAAAGGCTGTCAACATATTTAGTCAACATATTAGAATCAACATATCATTGAATCTCTAAAGCAATACTTGTTATTATTATTATTATTGTTATTATTATTATTATTACTATTATTATTATTATTATTATTATATTATTATTATTATTATTATTATTATTATTATTATTATTATTATTATTATTATTATTATTATTGTTAATATTATTATTTGCATTAAATTATTTTACTTCAAAAATAATCTAAAATGTAAGTTCTTTTGGAGAAAATATTTTGTTACAAATGCTTACTTTTGCTATTTTCATTTGAAGTTTTGCTTGAGATATATTTATAGTAATTACTTCTATATAGTAGTGTTAGCTTCTTGAGTTCCTAGTTTGATCCCCAATCCTTACAATATTATTGCCTACATCAATTATATTAAGTGATAAGCTCTGAGATAATGACACCTCTTAATATCTAATCTTTCACGACAAAGGTATTTCTCCATACGGATAACTTTATTGTTTTTAACTTTTAAAGCGGTTAAATTATTTTTTTATTCTCTAGAATTATATAATATCTTTTAATATCTAAGGTTTTATCTATCATTTGTAAATTATACAATAGAAAAGTTAAACATTAATTAATTATAAGGGAAATATATACTAGAAGATTATTTACCACCTAGTAGTGTCAATGATAAACCTCGTATTGGGCATCCCAAAACTGTCAGCAGACTATGAAAACATAGTTTACAGTAGATGCAATCCAAAAGCAGTAGTATCAGCTTTGTGCAGAAATTAATAGTTCATTTTTAGACAAAATAATTAGTCATACAACAAATTATCATGCAAGAAATAATTAAATTTGTTTCATGATGTAAGAAAACCTTTGTTGACAATAACCGATTGCCAAAAATGATTATCTTTAGTAATGAGTCAAATTTTTTAACATAAAAACAACAGATTTTTTTACCAAAAAAAATTTTTAAAATATTTGAAGCAGCACATACAAAGCTGTATTCAAAAAGGTGGTGCATTCTGTTGGCATATTAGTCTTTCAGGGGAAAACATTTTGCTTTACCGATTTGACCGCAGCTACTTCAAAAAACATTTTAAAACGTGT